CAAGAGAAAAACAGAGAAAAATCAAAAACAAAACAACACTTGTGCCAAAGAGAAGAGAAGAGAAAGAGAGAGGAAAAAAAAATTGAATACAGCAATAATGAAAGCAAAAAAAAAAAAATCAAATACAAGTGGTACCAGCAGAAACACAGGAATAAGAAACATAACACAGAGTGACGTAGTAAACTGTGTTAAAGCTACATCAAAGTTCTTTAGATATCTTGATTGAAGAAGTCAAAAACCAGAATCAAATTCGGAATTCAAATAGAAGGAATAACAGCGACATAGCAAGAAACATAGTTCATGGAGAGTTCAGAATTAGTCCAGGCCGCAGAATGAAATAGAATTTTGCAGCATGAGCAACACCACAAGACAGTGACAATAGAACGGTCACAGCAACCAAACAGGAAGATTGAGAAGTAGGATAACCATGTTAGCTCCTCAATTCTTTAGGTATATGCAAAGTTTAGAAAATATTCAGTAGAAATAATATGCAAAGTCTTCATCCTAGTACCGATTGTACCCATAGACAGCATAGCAGTCAGTAGGAACTCTTCATAGATATATGAATTCTTCACAACTAAGTGTAATAAAAGCAGCTGGATGTACGTTGACAGAGAGTCACTGGTAATAGAGCGTAGCTGGTAAACCTGTCATCAGAATGTACCACTTAGTATTTAGCTTAAAGAGACAAACGCCCAAGTGCTGTTTAAAAATAAAAGTAAGGAACCAGCTATGACATAGAAGAAAAGCAAAATGGAGATCTAAAAGAAAACAAAAATAATGTAAGAACATGGATAAAGAATAAAATCCATAATTAATAAGGAGTGGGAAGCTGAGAGGGATCTAAAGATACAGAATAACCATTTAATGTATATAATGGGAGAAGGCGTTTATGCTTAGACTCTGTCTTCCAACACAGTAACCTTTCTACACAGATTACGATGTAAACTTTTGAAATAACAACCACTAATACAGATGAATAAAAATAAAATCAATTGTAAGAGAGAAATAACTAAACTGGATGCAACATTACATTAAAAAAATGTGTAGCAGTATTACAGTATCCCAAAACAGATTCCCACCATGAGGTCTGGCCATCTTGCTTAACAGCAACAGAGACCTGTTTAAGAATCCCTTGTTTATGTGTGACAGTAATTTGAGCTTGGTGCAAAATACTCTTTAATGAATTAAGCAATGTCGTAATTGATGAGTCAGTTAACCATTTTTTCATCTCAGAACCCATACCTAGGGGCAAATCTGACATGGAAAAATCATGATAAATCCAAACTTATGTTAGTAAGTTGAGGCATAGTGAAATTCCATACTGAAGAAGCAATATAAGACACAGGAATGGAATTACACCACATGCCAGGCAATAAGTGAGTGCTGAGAAGAGATTCATCCGGTGTTTTAAAAATAATTTGATCAGGCTGAAATAAGTGAAAACAAACACGATCTAACCCCAAGTAGTAGACAGGATTTGTAACATTAAATTGACCATGAAAACTACATTCATCCTGATTAACCCAACATGTTTCAGTAGTACTTTTATATTGGGATGGAGAACATATATAAGAATTAGCATTAGAGTGACACAAAAATGTCTACAAGGGTCCAGTTAGAACTATCCGTACCCTGGGCTACCCATTGATGTGAAAGTTCAGGCAATAATAATGACCCATTAGACGGTAGGCCAATTGTAGCTAAACGATAAATAGCATCTTTGCCTGCCCATGGTATTAATGTATGAATGGCGCATTTTTCAAGTGAGCAGTCAGAAGAACTTCCCACCACAAAAGATGAGTCATCGCAAAGTCAGTCACAGATTTTGAAGCAGCACGACTAAACGAAGCAGGCCATCTACCTGACCATAAACTTTGCAACTGAAGTTTAAGATCGGTAGACAGATCAGCCTGAACCTGTGAACATAGCATTGCCCATGCAGTATCACGAGTAAAATTTTAAACTGAGTTGACCAGAGTGTGAAACTTATCAGAAATAATCTCAGTTGTATCTACCATAACATGTTTGATGCTGTTGAAGCTTAACAATATTAGTATTAATACCATATTGGGTATCCAGACCCGTAGAAGTATGAGAGGCTAAAGAAGCAAGTTTATATCTTAGAATTTCCGAATAAATTTGTGCAGCTGATCCCACGACACTACCATATGTACCTAACCCAGTAGCTAAAATATCTCGTCTAGGGTGATGGTGTGATCGAAGTGATACATTATACAACATGCTTTCATAAAACCACCACTGAAAAGCTCTTTCCTGTACTGATACGAATAGCGTACAATTGGAATATTGTGTGGAAACCAACCATTTATTTAATTGTAAGTGCCAGGTAACCAAACGATATGTAACTTCATATGCTACTTGTGTAGCAGAGTCCAAACGAACTTGAATAGGGTCACCTTCCTGAAATGGAGGTGTGGTAGATTCTGGTATAGGCGTAGAGTGATATACAGAAGCTATAGGAGTAGAAGGCTGTGCTATTTCATCAATTCTAACTATAAACTGTGGAATACCATTGTCTGTACATTGCTATTCACCTACAGAATCAGAGGGGTTGGAAGTATTAACCAAAATAGTTGCAGGCATCGCAACAGAATTAGAGTCCTGGACTTCTAGACTTCCACAGGTATTAAGATTATCCATGTTAGCCATAGGGCGACTGTTAGAATTATGAAAAATGCCAGAAGTAGCGTATTGCAAATCAATACTGCATATCAAACAAATATTCTTATCAAGATGCGGAACTGCACCATATTCTGGAATCAGAAGATGGGTTTTATTAATAAGCCATAGCTGAGCATAGTCAAATTTTGGAACACTAGCAATAAAAAGTGCAACAAATTGTGGGGATGCAGAACTATGAGAAATATGATATATGGGACGGTTAGATCTAACACTATTACGCTGAAAGTTAGACAATAAGGAAAATATAAGGTCAATGCTGGTAGTAGGGTGTGAGACTAAATATATAGGTTTAAAAGGAGCAAGCACTTCATAAGAAGTGACAAGACGCTTCTGCAGATTATGATTATCTGGATGCCAAATGTTAGTAAAGGTATAGAGCAAACAAATCACTGTAACGCATCCCACCAAACATGTCCAAGATGCCACAGTCTAACTTGTAGATTATGAAAACCAACAAAATAATTAGTTATGATCAAACTGTAAATTAATGGCACCAAACTTCAAATATCATGTAAAAATGTGGATAAAGAGATTGTTACAAGACGTTACTATTTATTATTAGTAAATAACATACAAAGTGAAAGCATCACACTAAGAAAACATGCAATCGTGCAGAAAGTAGTCTAGCCAAAGCTAGTTTTGTACATCCGGTAGGACCTTCTTTTTTTAAAATTTTTTTTCAAATTAAGATTAGATGTAAAGGCGCCGATCATTCATAGTGAAAAGTAGAGTCTGGAAAAGCCATTCTAGAGTCTCAGTCTCTTTGTACACTTTCTGAAAAACAAAGTAAATATAGAATAACACACAGAGGGCTTTAAGAGCCCTTAAACAATTTAAGCTGCATTGCATGCTTGTAGACATTTAAACAATCTGATTTTTGAATAAGATAAACTGAGGGTCCCACTTTGTCCACAATAAGATATGGGCCTTCCCAGCAATCTTTAGGAAATTTCCTAGGGTTTTTTTGTCCTTGTTTAAGCATGCACACAGAATCTCACACTTGGTATTCAGTGAGGTCAGATTTTTTTTTTTATCAAAATCACTTACTTTTTAAGGCGGACACTGCATCTGTGTGCAGCGCCTGTCCTTGTACAGTGGTGAGCCATAGAGAATGTTCTTTCGCCCATTCTTCATTGCATAATGCTACAGAGGTAGATATATCCATAGGAAGCAAAAGGCGTTCCCATGAAGGCATACTGCGACCAAAAAGTACTTCATAAGGAGACATCTGAATATGCCTGTTAACTCTAGATCTCATCCGAGCAAGGACAAAAGGCAGTAAAATATCCCAATTTTTACCATTGGCATTACAGATTTTGCTTAGTTCCTTTTTTATCTGGCCATTCATCCTTTCAACCATGCCTCCGCTTTGAGGGTGATAAGCAATATGGAAATCCCAAGGGAGATCTAACCAACTTGTGATCTCTTTCAGGATGGTATTGACAAATTCACCGCCATTATCTGAATCCATTTGTTTTGGAATCCCAAAGTGACAGAAAACATTTTGCACTAGGATTTTGGCAGTTGTGCCAGCTGTTTTGTTAGGGGTAGCAAAAGCTTCAATCCATCAATTAAAAGAGTCAATGACTAACAATATGTAGCGATTTTTACGGGCTGTCAATGGCAGTGTACCTACATAGTCAACCTGTAGTCTGTCCCAAGGTCCAGTAGGAGCATGTCGCATTAGTGCTCCACGTGTTAGTTGTCTTGCTGGATCTTGGTGTGCACAAACAATACATCTGTCAATGTGATCTTGAATATCTCTTCTCATAGTAGGCCACCATCCCAGTTTTGACATCCTATCTATACATTCTTGTAATTTGGGATGTCCCCCTGCACTGGAACCATGTACCCAAGCCAGCAAACATTTTACCAAATCAGAGGGAATAACCCAGACAGGACCATGTTCAGTGTCTTTGACTATAAAATGTCATGCAGAATTTTCAGTGTTTCTTTACCTAACTTAGGTGCCAGGTCATCAAAAAGAGGAGCGAGTACCAAATCGTACTCCTGATGTTCTCGAAGTATAGACCATTGTGTGCCATAATCGTCAGGGGCATACAACTGCACTGGTGCAAGTGGTGCATGATACAATACATCTTCCTCTTCCCATAGTGGAATATCAGGAAGACATGCAGCCTCTTTTGCAAATTTATCAGCAAGACTATTACTGTATGCCGAAGGTCCCTTAGATCTGTGTGCTTTTACCTTGACGAGTTTGATAAAGCCTACATGATCTTTTGACAAATCCTGTATGCGTTCCCATAAGCCTTTTGTGCTGTACTATACTGCCATCAGTGGACTGCCATGTATTGTTGACCTAAAACGTAAGAAGAATCAAAGCTCCTCTGAAAACATACATAGTCAGTGACTACAAAGAGTGTACCACCTTTCCCAATTTTGTCTCGGATCAAAGTTAGTAGTGCAGCTAATTCAGCAAACTGTGCTCCTGCATTGTTACAAGCATACTGAAACAAATCAAGAATCGTTCTACCTTCAAGAAGTACACCTGCAAAACCTGTCATGCGCTTACCATCGATGACTGATGAACTAGCATCAATGTCCCAAACAGGGTTATTTCCCACATCAGCAGGGCTGCCCTCTTTGAAAACAGAATGTGCTTTAGGAGCAATCATAGGATGACATACATGATCCTGACCTTGAATAAGAACACCCAACACATGTACAGAGGGTTCCTTTAACGGTTCCACTGTAATGTGTTCAGTGAGCAGCGTAGTCATCCATCTCACCACACGTTCATTACGAATGTCACTTAAAGCCAAATTATGTTTTTTCAGCAAAAGCAGGGGATTATGATGTGAACGAATCACAATGTGCTGACCGCTGAGAAGATATCTCAGTCTTTGTATGGTCCAGTATGTAGCTAGGGCAATTTTTTCACAAGGACCAAATTTCAATTCAGGTGATGTCATTTTGCGACTTAAGTATGCAATAGGGGCTAGTATATCACCATGGTATTGGGCCACTACTGCACCAAGTGTTGTATCAGATACACTAAATAAAATGGTTTGTCTGATGCTGGAGTGCCCAAAACGGGTGCACTAGCTAATGCAGATTTGAGGGAGGAAAATGTCTGTGTGTGAGAATCATTCCATTCAAATTTGTTTTTTCAGTAGGTCATATAATGCTTCTGCAAGCAAAGCATAATTAGCAACAAATTCTCTGCAAAATCCTGTAAGCCCAAGAAACTGCTGTAAAGATTTCACATCTACAGGTCTTGGTAGGGAAAGAATGTTTAACCCTATCCTCAAGAATACTTCTGCCTCTTGGACCAAGTTCCAATCAGAGGTAATTAACCTTCTGTTGGACCAACTGACACTTGTCAGGGTTAAGTTTCAAGCCATGCTTTTTAAGGCATTCCAAAACCTTTTTTTAACAGTTTAATGTTACTCTTTCTGGAATCATTTGCTATTAACAAGTCATCAACATACTGAACAATTTTGTTATGCAAATTATGAGACTTTAGAGCTTGTGCTAACATGCTGTGAAAAATTGCAGGGCTATCACAGTAACCTTGAGGAAGAACTGTCCAGCAATACTATTTAGACTGAAAAGAAAATGCAGTACGATACTGAGTTTCAGGAGTGACTTGTCCACTATAAAACCCATTTGCAAGATCTAACACGGTGTAATACTGCATTTCAGGAGTTAATTTAGCAATCAGTTCAGGGTAAGAGGCCACAACAGGTGCTGTTCTAAAAAAACTGTCTCATTTAGTCGTCTGTAGTCAATGGTTAAACGCAAGTGTTGTATTTTTCACGAATAGGCCACACAGGACTCGAGCCTGCAGTTTGGCATGGTCGAATTAACCCACGCTGTAGCAATTGGTCAATGATAACTTCTAAATCCTTTTCTGCCTCACGTGGAATTGGATACTGTTTAACATATGGGTGGTGTGAACCATCCAAAGAAACCATTAATTGTGATTTACCACAATCTAGACTATCTTTGGCCCATACATCGGCATATTCATGCCACCAAGATTCTGTATCCACAGGAGGAGCAGGAGGGTGTTTGATTTTAATACCCTTTACGGCCCCAACATCCTCATGTGGATAGACAACATGCACAGGAGGCAAATTGGAGCCTAAACCGATCCGAGCATGCTCAGAAGGGCTAGTACTCCCCTCAATATTCCAAAGCATGTGATTCATTAAATCAATGATAAACCCAAACTTTACAATATCCGGAGCTCCCAACAGAGAGCGCATCTTTTCCCAAAAACACATCAGAACGTATAGTCTTAGAGCCAATCTTCAATGTCCTAGGTTCAACATACACTGTTTTTGGCATGCCAGTAATCCCCACAATGCAAGCAGTAGTAAATTTGCCAGTTTTTGGTGTACCAGATATTAGTGTAGCAGCTGCCCCTGTATCGATTAGAGTGTTAATTTTCTCCCCATCTACCAACATAGTACACATTGGTCGTCCCCATTTATCTAGATCCAGAGGCCAGTCGACACATTCCTGGCAGGAGGAGAGGGGTGGAAGGGAAGTTGTTAGTTGCAACAGGCGTTAAATTAGCTTGCTCTACTTGTTTTCTAAGTAACTCAACAGAATGTTGTAACGCTTTCTGAGAGGCAATAATATCCCTCAAGGGAATCCACTCACCATATTTTCCTATGCCACGTCTTGTAGTATTAAATCTACCTCTAAAACCACCCCGTCCACGGTACTGTGGACCTTCTGTCTGCCAAGTATTAGAGGCATTATTTAATTGCTGTCCATCTCTCCAAGATCTTTGAGCCTGATGTTATTTCAGAAATCGGAGAGGGTTTAGAATATCTATCCATTTCAACTTGCAAACGGTCAAGCCATGAATTAAAGTCAACATTCTTCAGGTCACCGTAACAGATGGTCATAACATGAGAAATGTTACTTGGTACAAGAGTGAAAACTAACTCCCGCACTGCTGGATCCAATTTAAGGTCAGCTTGTATTTCAGAACGTTTTTCTGAAGTAGCCCCATTAGTAAGAGCAGCAAGGAAAACAATTACTCTGTTAGCAGTTTCTGTGATAGACTCATTAGGAAGTGAGATAAAAGCTTTGTTAATCTGGAAAGGACTAGACAAATGAAATAGTTTATAGCAACACCGTTCTAACAGCTGAGAAAGTTTGTGCAAAACCTTCTATGACAGCTGAACAGGATCCCAGACCTTTCAGAAAAATCTCTATTAATTGTGAATCCGAAGAACCCCAGCGAAGGAGTTTTCCGATCCAATCTGTGAATCTATTGAAATCCTCAATAGTATTCTTATTTACAGGAGCTTGCCCTATTTCAGATAAGACAGCCCTGGCTTCTGTCGCTTTCACAGAAGAAGGTGCTGTCATATGTACATTAACAGGATCAGAAATAACGTTGTTTAGTTTTAGCCTCTTTAAGGTCACTTTGCAGTTGTTTGTTAGCAGTCTTAAGGTCTTGTGTAGTATCATGCAATATGCTAGTAGTCTTTTCCTGTTTTTTAATAGTAGCCTTAAGTTTGTCATTTACACGTAACTCGTCATTGTCAAGCCTAAAACGTTCAAGGTTAGTTTTAGTCTCAGTTAATAGTCGTGCAGCCTCAGACAACTCTGCTTCCAAGTCTCGTCTCTGCTGGTTTTCTTGTGAAAATGATTGTTTTACATTATGTAAAGTCATTTCCATATCATTATATTCTTTTTCTATTCTAGCATGATGTGCAGAAATTTCCTTCAATTTGTCATCTGATAACACTTCGTTAGCCTCTAATTGAGGACCACGTGTTATAGGATTACAAGGAACAAGATTAGTTTTAGAAAATTCAATTGGCAATTCTGGATACAAATGTGTATACGTGGGAGGAGCAGAGGGGACAGAAATTGTTTGTGAAGGCAACTCAATATTTTCATTTTTATGCTCCATCCACATAGCAACATCGTCTTCATTAATTAAAGCAGAAGGAAGATCGACTGACAAGGTGGCAATCTGATACCATTTGTTTTCATGAGCAACAGGGGATTTTTTAAATATAGCACTTCCCCGAGCCTTACCTCCTAGTTTGAAAGGAGAGTGCTTAGTACGCAGGCATTGTAAGGTGTCTACAGCTTGATCAAGGATTATATTTTTGGATTCTAAATTATGAACTTTATCTTGTAAGAATCCAGCAGTGTGAGCTGCATTTTGTGCCTGGGTGCGGTAATCTTCTAATTGTACATGCAGCGTATCAATAAGAGAAGGTTGCAGATTAAAGCTAACTTGCAACTGTTCAATCATTTGAAGGGACATCATTAGCATATCTAGTAAAGCTTGCAAACTTCTACCCTTTTTTACTTTGTCATCTTTAAGCTGCATTATTGAGGGTAATACTTGAAAAATGTCCTCTAGAAACAGCGCATCACTTATATTTTCGCCCAACTTAAATGGACCTCCATATTTTTTTAATCCAACATTTTATAAATTCTTGAAACACAGAAGGAAAGAAAACAAAACAGGGGAATTAACGGATCTCTGTTCAGTATTTAAATCAATAGGGTCACATGATCTAGATTCAAGATTACCTATCCTATTTGGAAACTTAAAGAAAGACATACTTACAAAACGAGGATCCTTCCAACAACTGAGTACACAGTGTTCTCCACTGCAAAAGACACGACTAAACCACCCAAGGACGAGGCCCCCAGAATGTCGGTTTTCGGTGATCCTTCAATATTGATAGTTATGGCTCGCTTCAGGTATGATGTGGACCTTTACCGACAAAAGGTCACTCTGGGTCATTCTAAGCTTAGTGTGTCTTTATGCAATCTATAGCTGTATACGGAGCAGACCCTTCCGTTCCCAAATTATTTATAAATACTGTTTTCCTTAACCATTCTAGATGATAACTTGACTATCACTAAAATAATCCAGTGTCTGAAGACCCAAAAGGCACTGTAATAATATTGTAATAAATGAAACAATGACTCAAAATTGAATTTTTTCAAATCTAAGCAAAAAGGCCTGCAATATTTCATACACTTATTTTATACAGCTAAATGTACATTCATATTAGATATATATATGCACATGCCATATAATATATATATATATATGCACATACCATATAATATATATATTGCAAACTACACATTAAATAATGATCAACACTCCACACCACCGACCTAGCGACCCAAATTTACACCTAGATACACTAGTCAAGACAGGACACCGGAACTATTTACACCAAAATTCAGTCTGACCCACACCACCTGTATTAGACGAGCTGACTACAGAGCGTCTAATTTCCAATAAGCGGTGCGCCTTTAATTCTTCCAGTGAGAAGGGGCAGATTCCATACAACCAAACCAAATACAAACCCCTTGTGGGCCTACCGCTCTAACGCTATTAATCTTACCTCTTCGTACCTGGGCTTCACACTCATCGACGGTGCACCCCAGTACTCACTGCCCAGAAGCCGATGATCTCCTGGACAAAAGGCCAGTGGCGCCGAGACGAAAGGAGGTCCATGCAGAAGTCCAGGGGTGCTGCCATGGAGAACGTTGGTAAAGATCTACCGTCTCTCTCAGCTACCGTGACGACGAGCTTCCCGACCAATGCACCAGGATGTAACCGTGGAAGCATGCAGAAGCCAAACACAGAGAGATGGACACAGGTATTCAGGAAGTAAAAGGCCTTTATTCACATACCGATCGGGTCTCAGATGGACTAACGTTCCACAACAGATCTGAGCCCCAAACACATGGAGTACATTCCTTATATAGCAATATAGCTCCTCCCATAAATAGCTATACCCACACATACCCTTAACCAATCACTGAACAGTCTAGACTTGCTCATCTGGTCTGACCACGTGGCTCATCTGAAACAAAGGAGAAGGGAGTGTGATTTCAGTTCCTACATTCCTGCACATGCTCAGTACATTGACAGTATCTTAGCTACGTGTAACTAACTGATACTACAAACACATGTACCTACATATACCATGTGGCAATCTTGGCCTACTAAACTTTTATTTTACTGGAATTCCATCACAATAGCTACTCCCAAAAATGTTACTTTTTGTTTGAGCAACTTTTGAAGTGTTTAGCTTGACTTCAGGAGTTTGCAATTAAGCCAAAAAATTCAGTTAATAAATTCATATGTTGTTGTTTTGCCCCGGAAGGGGGACTTAGTGATAGGTCAGTAAGTGTCACTGAAGCTCCTGTGTTAGTACAAATCTTAGTATGTTGTCTTGCCATAATTTCATTCACGTAAGGGCATCCTGAATGGTCTATAAATGTGTTACAAATCGGAACCATGCCATCCAGTTATAGTTATTCCAAAAAATGAAATCAGAGGGACTTCACCCTCTTCATTCATAGTAGAGTTTATAGTCACTGTTCCCTGTACAGTAATCATTCTCAGAGCCTCCCGCACAGGACCATATAGATTGGTCTTAGGCAGGGGGTGAGAATGGCGTCCCTGACCTGTTTTATCTGGGGGTTTATTTCGGTCAATCTTATCATGTACCTTTTGATCTATTCTTTCTTTGAAAGGCCCATAGGGATAAGCATACAATCCCTTGGTCACTGTTCGGTCTATCTTTGCCTTTTTATACTCATTCTGTCTATGACCATTTTTGTTGCAATAATAACTACCTCTGAAGGGAATCTCTTGGAGGGCTTGCTTCCTTTCATTGGTAGATATAATTGCCATCTTGTGATGTCCTGTGACACCTTTCCTAATTCAAGTTTGCCTAGCTTTTCCTATAATTGCTAAACTCTTTCGAGTGTCTTTCCTCTATTATTTGCACTCCGGGGTCTAAATAAGTGATTTTTTTTTTTATCAGGTATTGCAGTAAATCAGGAGGGTTTGGTCTTGTGGTATAAGGTGGGTAAGTCTGTACACTTGTTCAAATTTAGAAGCAAAAACTCAAGGATCATCCTGTAAGTGTATCTTCATTTCAGCGAGTGAATGACTGTCTAAATCTTTCTCCGGTTATCAATTTGGAGATTGCTCTAAGCCTGTCTCCTTCTGTCCCCCATTTGTCCTCTTTGAACCAGTCTTGATCCCGATTAATGGGCCCATTTATGGATGAATTTAGTCTGCATGCAATGCTGCTTGGTGCCCTCATTTTAAGCATAATACATGCCTCTTTAGGAGAGAGCATATATTGTTTGACTGCAGATTCAAAGTTGGACATGTTTGAAATTACATCTATTTTCCAGTCATATGGGGGAAAAAGGGATCTTAACTTAACAAGCTGTTTCATTACTTTATCCCTATCTTGCTGCTGTAGAATTGTAGCAGTCTGCAAGGTGGCAGATGCCCTGCTTTTAACACTTGGTGTAATGGACAAAGGAAGGGTCCCTAAAAGATGATGCTGTTGGTTTAGTTATATAGGGGGGTTAATACTGGAATACCACTAATATCAAACCCATCCAGTACAAGGTTTCCCCTGTTTACCCCTTGGTCCTCATTTTCTGCAATACCAGAAGCCTCTTCTTCCTCTGCACACATCCCCATGGCCACATACAGCAACTGGGGTTTGTGCAGCTAAACCTGTTCTAAGCGATGAAATTAGCTCTCCTCTCGCTTCATAATTGTCCTCTAATGTACTTGCATAGTCTGCATTTAAGCCACATGTTGGACAATCACTATATTTCTGATTACTACTTTGTATACAGGCCACAGTAGTGTGCCCCAAAAGTATCCGATTTAACTGATTTCTTAATAACCAACAACTTCATGCAATTTTGGAGTTTCTGTTTATCCTTATTCAAACACCATTTTTTGTTATCTACTCTCATGTTCTCTTTTTCGCATTGTAACCACATGCTATGCATTTTCTTAAATTCATTTCATTATCAAACATTATGGAATCAAAACTGCTAGATGCTGCATACTCTGCTACAATTTCCATTCTTACTTAAAATAAAGTTAAAAGTACTTACACGATTTGTGTCTTCAGACTGCAGGCAAATCAAATGGTGTGCACCCCACTTTGAATCCTTGGTCTGGCTATCTCCGATCCTCCAGAAGTGATGGCCGGCTTACAAACTGCGTCTCACTCTGGTTGCCTCTGTAGGATCCCGCACGTCCTGGCCCTGGACATATTGCCGAAAACGATCACAAAAAAATAAAACAAAAAAATTGGTTTGGTTATTTTGTCCCCTTTTATAGCTCACATGTATCTGGAAAAGACTGGATTGTCCCCCCTTGCAAGTGAACTTAAAAGGTGGTAGAAAATAATAACATGGCTCGCCAAATGTAATAAACGTTTAACTCGCAAGTTGGAATAAACTTGGCATTAATAATATTAACTAAAATAACTTAAAAACCGAGTGTAAAGTCAGAGTCCAAACTCCTTGCTTTTGGCAATTCAATAATATTTATTAATAGAGGCTAATTAAACAAACAATACATATACATTTGAAATAGGCTAGTATATGTTGCTATTAAAACTAATCATTGACTGAATGGAAAGTAGGCTTAATTAACATAGTAAAACAGGCCCAGACACGTGATACAGTTACCACTCCATTGATCAGCAGCTGAGAGTGAGAGGGGAGAGCGCGAGAGGAGGGTGAATTCAGAGACAGAAAATGTGCTATTCACAGGGCTTTAAACAGGTTAGCGCCTCCTTCTGCTGGACACACCTACCTTAGTCAATCACTTAGGATGTAACAGAACTAGAGTTCCTCCTGGGGGAAGGGGCATTGCATTGGAAGGGAATGGAGGAGTTTTATCAACAGCCTTACTGATTTTACCTGATGAAAGGACATGTGCTTCACAGAGGACTAAAGGTAGAATGGGGGCTTGAATCCCTGTATTAGAACACAATAACACTTGGCATACAGTTTGGCTGTTAATCACTCTCCCCACTTATTACACCCCCCTTATTAGTATTTAGGGCCCCCACCCACCGCTCAGGGGGAGGACCAGTGGCGTACATACCAGGGTCGCAGGGGTCGCGGCTGCGACCGGGCCCGGCCGCCCCTGCGACCCGGTATGTAGCCACAGGGCCAGCCTCTTCCCCTGGGGGGCCCAGGAGCCGACCACCCCTGGGCCCCCCGAGGCTGGCCTTGCTGTCACCGGGCAGGCGGGTGGCCGGTCGGGCAGGAAGGTGGGCGCGCGAGGGAGCACTCAGTGCTTCCTCTTCAGCTCCCTCGCGCACCGCACTGATGCCGGAGCCGGAAGATGACGTCATCTTCCGGCGCCAGCATCCCTACGCGGCGCGCGAGGGAGCTGAAGAGGAAGCAGTGAGTGCTCCCTCGCGCGCCCACCTTCCTGCCCGACCGGCCACCCGC